ACAATGTAGAGAAATGGTCTTAATTTACGGGTTGGCATGTCCCTAGTTTGCTGCAGCATTTTGACCTCTAGTTTAATAAAATCCAGAGTGATCAAGTTTGCTTTCAAAGGAGGAATATTTAGACTGTATAAAAACTGTAGTTACTTTAGAACTTCAACTGCAATTTAAACTGAAGCTGTTCAATCAAATAGGGTGAAAAATACTCTAATTATTCAAGTATAAGAACTCAACAAACGTGGCTCTAGGCACATAGAGTAAAATCAATAATTTCAATTACTACCCATGTCTTTCAGGTGACTATATTTTCTCACTAAAATTATTTCTTAGGATTTTTCAAATGCTAGGAGGAATTTTATGTGATGGAAACAAATGAATTAAATAATAAAATCATCTAGTAAATCTCAAGGCAGTGGTGATGAGCTTATTTTGGTCTGTCATAACTCCTTAGACATAAAAAAGATAAAAGCATTTTTCTTATAAACATTGTATCTCCTGATGGGAACAGCACAAATGTTATCCATACAATTAGAAAGACTCAAAATTGCTGATCAAAACCCTTCACTAAGATGCCCTTTTCAAAGTTATTGTAGAGCTTGACTGTTACAAGCTTGTGGTCATTGGTTCCTTTTTTATATTTAGTTTATGTTTTGCATCCTACTCCATGCAACCTGAGTTACAAGAGGCACCGTACAGGTGGTAGAATTGAACATGCACCCTCTGCGACCTCAGTGAGACCTCTGAATCACTGAGCAATCTCTCCAGCCCAGTGGCCAATGGTTTTAATATAACAACCAAAGGAGCCAAAAAGCCAAAAATAAGAACCAGAGATGTTTGTTGCATTCATTTCTCAAGCAATATCACGTTTTATAACAAGTGGGAAACGAAGATAGAAGAGAAAGGGGAAAGCGAATCTTCGAAATCAAAAGGTTCTACTCTAACTTAAAGAGTTAGTCTGAAGTGTAAGGGAAATTTTGTTAGGCCATTTATTCTTAAGAACTTCCTTAACTCATTTTGAATCATTTTGAATCATAAAAGGTGATTCTTTCAAAGAACATCATTTACTACATCGACAGCCCTTATTGTGAATACTGTTTCCTCTCTGATTTCTGAGAAAGCTCCTTTCTCTACAAAAAAAAAAAAAAAAAAAAAAAAAAACCCCAAAAAACAAAAAAAACCTACCTGTAACAATACAACCTTTTTATCCGGAGATTATACACTTGAGGGTAATGAATTTCAGAACCCTTCATTGTACGTGAAATGCTGTATATTAGAGAAATAGTTATCTGTTCTTTTAAACTTGTGCTTATACACCTGTCTCCATATTTCTATGATGAAAATGAAAACTCCTGCTGTTTTCAATCATCTTACAGATAAGTTACAGTGAAGATAAAACATGTCAGTGAATGACAATTCAGTTTTTATTGAAAGTAAGGAGCTCAACCTTTCTAGACTTAGTAAAACTGATTCTCCATGATAACATTAAATGCTCACATTGTTGTAATTAAAAGCAGGAGCTTGATGCTTCAGTGGTCACAAGCAGCAGAAAGCCTCCATCAGAGTACTTCTGGGAGGGGAGGAGGGAGAGTTCCATTCTTACATACTCCAAGATTAGCCTCCAATGTGGAATCGTAGTTATTTAATCAAACACTAAAGAATATTGACATTAATCGATCAGAAAAGAACATTCATAACAAAGGTTTGTTGTTGCTAACACAAACTGTTATCAAGTGGCAACAGATAATATTGCAGAGATTAGAGATGACTCAGTTGTTAAGAGTTCTGCCTGCTCCTCTGGAGATCTGAGTTTAGTTCCCAGCACCCAAGTCAGGGGGCTTAGAACCACCTGGACCTCCAGTTCCAAAGGGTCAGGAGCCCTCTTCTGGACAAGGCAGGCATGTGTGCATGCGCGCGTGCACACACACACTGCATGCATCCCACAAACACACAAATATAACAGCAAATCATTTTTAAAATCATAGTTATATACATTGACTACAGCTGAAATCACAGAACCCAGTGGATTTTACTCATCAATTTAAGTAGCTTGGCAGTCCTTACTAATTTCAAATTACACAGATTTCCCTAACAATTCATTTACACACGTATGTTAATACGGTCAAAGATCAAATTCATTACTCTTTCACACACATATTTAGACGGAAGGCTCATAAGTATATAAAATATCAATTTTTAAGTTCATAGTAAAAGAACACTTGAGATTTACAACAAAGAAAGTCACTTTTTGGTCAAAGCTTAATCTCCTTAGGAATATTATCTGGATATTTTGACCCTCTGATTAGTGGAACGTAAGAATATTTATCAATGTGCTAAAAATATCAAGGCCTTTTTATCTCACTAAATTAATAATCACCCATTCATTTGTCTTTTTCTCCTCTGGGTTTCATATTTATTTAACACACCTTAGGAAGATAACTGTAAGGTGCTAAAGAGATGGTTCTTGCTTCTATTGTAGAGGACCAAGGTTGGGTCCCCACAACCCACATATTGTATCCTATAACTCCTTGTAAACTGTTTAGTAGCTGCCAAATGTGTCCACAACCTTCAAATACGTACACACATGACTAAAAATAAAATAAATATTTTAAAAGAATGAGAACTTAGAGCTGGAAAATCCAGTTGCTTTATACACTTATCGCAATATACAGTTTTGAAAAATCAAAGAACAATTTCCTATGCGAATAAAGGTCTACCTATGCATCTACTGAGAACCATGAGGCTGCCCTGGCCTAGTTTCCTTGAGCTGCATGCATCATGGGTTTTTTCAGGTTAGAGCCCATGATCCTGTCCTGGGGCACTGTTTGCCTTCCAGTTACCGAGAACCTGAGGCTCTCTCTGAGGCGGTGAAGCATTCAAGCCACTTTGTGTTTCTCCATATGTTTTCTTAGAGAACAAGGAGGCACAGGAGCTTAACAGGACAATTGGTCTTAGACATTAATGGTGTGTACCCTGTACCACTTACAAACATCATTGTATCCTAGCAACTACTACCATATTGCTCCTGAAAAATCACTACTATATTCTGTTTCTGATAAGGGTGTTAAAAGTCTGATTGCTCCCGATAAAACTGTCACAGCCTCACACTGGTTGTGGCCAGTGCAACCCAAGCCTGGTTTGATTTCTCGCTGGCCACATCAGGTAACCTTGGCCCAATAGGAAAGTGCTGTCACTTACATGTATCCATCTAACTATCAGTTGACACCTGCATCATCTAGCATTCAACTCTATTCTGGAAAATGTTTTTCTTCATTCTTGCATTTGGTTTTTGCTGTGAAAAAAAAATGAAGAATTTTCCAAATTTCAGGCAATCTTTCTTGTGTTCTTAACTATGTGCCTATACCTTGCTTTAAGCTAATATATCGTGAAACAAAGTGATATCACATAGAAGTATGTAGTTAGTGCTTTTAGAAATATGTATTCTTTATAGGCCTCGTTGAGTTTTTTCATATTTCTGAAAGCAATATGTATATTTATATTTTTTTTTCCAGGCAAGGAAATTTAAAAGTTCACTGTATCTTCCAGTAATGTCCAAGAAAACAACGTTAAAAGGATGATAGGGAACACTCAATACTATCAACACTCTTTCTTGTTTTTAGTGTATTTAAGTATATAATATTATTATAATACTATATATTACTCCAAGTGAGGTCCTGTCTTTTGAGTTCTTGAGTATTTAAAAATCTGCCCACGGGTAGCCAATTTTCCCTTACTAAATAAACCTACAAAAAACAGAAATCCCATTGTTTCCTTTTATGTAGGAAGTAGGTCCTCTCCTCTGACCAGCTACTTAGATTATACATTACAAAGATGTATAGAAAACATGTTTTTCAAAAAAAAAAAAAAAAACTTTCAAGAAGACAATATAAGATAATGTATACAAATGAAAAATATCTAAACTATTAAATATTAGACTTAAGATTTAATTTTCTACTTGAGCTCCTATGAGGAGTGTCAACATTTTAACATAATGCTATCTAAAAATGTGCATGGCTACAAGCACAGCAACCCTAGGAATGTATAGCCAAGGACATGTGAGGGTGGAAGTGATTAGAAATGTTCATATCTGTTTAAATTATTTTAAAGGGCACTACTAAGTTTCACCATGAAACTTTGAAAATTGTATGCAGATTTGATAGTCTATCCTAGGTACTAAGAAAATTGAAATGTTAGGGGCATTGGCCCATGGCTTGTTCTAATTTGCTCTACTGAGTGGAACTAACATTTGGAGGATACTAGCCTACCTCATGGCTCACAACTACTTTTAAGGGTTGGATAAAAATATATGCAAACCATGAAGAGGAGATGTGATTCCAGCTCCCTGACTCACTCTCATATATATGCAAGTTATCCATATAAAAAAAGAAAGGATGGAGTAAGGTTTTTATTTTTCTTGTTTTCTTTTTCCAATACCTATATTTTATCTACCCAATATGAAATGCTGTTCCCAATGACCACTTGTTTTAAGGAAAAGATAAAATAACCAAACATGTAAATGAATGGTATCCATATAATATTATTGTCTGGAAGAAAAATTAATGTATCTAATATGCAAGAAATAGAGAGAGGTAGATTTTTATGAGACAAAGATGACAGAGTCTCCTATAACAGGAACAATGCTTTAACAAACACAAGGGGAGCAGTGTGTGGAGTGAATGAGGTGAGGGCAGGTCAAAGCAGGGCTGATGCTGCCTCTGCTGTCAAAACGCAAAAGCCATGGGGATGCTGATAATCTGAGGAAGGACAATCTGAGATTTGGGAACTCACTGCATGAAAGAAACAATGCTGAGTTGGTAAAATTGGCCTTAGTGGTGTCTGTCAATGGCTAAGGGAATGGTCACGTCCATGTGACTGACATTCAAGTGCTTATTTCTACTAAAACCAGAACTGTGGATCCTGATTGGCATGACTAACAGCCTCCTCTAGTCCACTGAGGGCTCCGAAGCATTTCAGCAGCTTTTTGGAAAGGTTTAGGGAGCAGTTACCTGTTTGCCACCAGTGGTCTAGAACAGGGACTCTGAAGACCTTTTTGGACCACTCCAGGGTCTCCACATCACACCTTTCCCCCGCCACAAACAGTGTCTTGAACCTGAATATGAGAGAGACAATGAGTTCAAAATATCCCCTTGAAAGTTAAATCAAACAATTTAGTTTATGTTTAAAAAAAAATATGTTGGACTCTAACCATTGCGGTTACATCAGTAAAACTGGTCTTTTAGAAGAGTACCATACAGTAGGACAGTAAAGTAAATTACTTGGGTGTATTCAAATGTAACCACGTGTAACTCACAGCATTGAGGTACTTCAAAAGCAGAGCCCAGAACTACAGATAGATGCTCACTTTGAGAAGGGCAATTGGGTTGACTTTATAATATACCTGTCACATTCCTCTAATGATCAAACATGAAAAGCCTTTCCCCCTTGACATTAGCCCCACTAATTTTAACTCCTAATTTCCTTCTTTTATTCTTATGAAGTATGTGCCAGAAATATGCTCACAAATACCCACGAAGACAGCAAATTTGATCACATATAATGAGTTCCTTCAGGAGAAATTACTATGACCTCAAGAACATATTTTCTCTATTGTGAGAAATACACAGGGAAAAAATCTCTAACGAAGAAGTATTATTGTAGCCTTTGGGGTCAAACAGACTACTATCACAAGGAATCTGGGCTATTGGAGGGTGACAGAGAATTAACATCACTGACAGAGCAACCTGTGCCCTAGAGTAGAAAGAACAAAAGAGAGAAATGGACCTAGCCTGACCCTGTTAGTGATTCATTGAAAGGAAGGCTGTTTTTCTTTCATGGCCATTGCTTTCATGGCTTGTCTGTCAGAAGGAAGAATGTGTGGATGAGCAATCAATTCATTATCATCAAAGGAAAAATATTCAACAAACAAAGAACCTGCCTGCTCATCTTGAACAATGCAGTCTGCTACTGACAGTACCTTACTGCTGTCTGCATTGATCAAACAGTTCCTTTAGCCTGTCTCTGTGATTGAGGAACACTTTGTTCCTATTTGCAACACACACACACACACACACACACACACAGAGAGAGAGAGAGAGAGAGAGAGAGAGAGAGAGAGAGAGAGAATAATTCCTATGTTGTATATTTTAATAACAACGTGTCCTAGAAAAAAAGAACATGAATATATATCTCTCTACAGGCATATCTTGAAGATTTTATTCCCACCATTCAGAATGTGACTATATATGGAGATTGGACCTTTAATAATCACTAATATAAGTGGTTTAGATGCTTTTCCCACAAGACAACCCGAAGGGCAAAAGTTTAAAATTGGCCAAAACATAATGATCTAATAAAGACACAAAAACTAGAACAATAATACACTACAAATACGTATGAATTTGCACAACTTTTGGAAATTATTTGCCTGTACTCTGCATTACATGCTAATACCATAGGTAATACCATGCACATGGCTAATACCATAGGTATGCACAATATTTAAATACGCATATAAACAAGATATCAATTGCATTTTGGAAAAGGCTCAAAATTATTCAGGTACTGCTGGACTACTGCATAGTGTAATGCTTCATGCAGAGAACTTGGAAGGTTTGGAGAGGTCCAGTTCAGGAGATTTAAATACAAGGTAGAAATTTACAGTCAGAGAGGACTAATTCAGTCCTCTAATTCAGTGGTAGACACTAAGAACATAATAAAGTCTTGAAAATGAAGAAACCAATAACAATATGTTAATTAGCTAAATTTAGTAATCTAATTATATATATTTCAAAGTTAACCAAGTAAACAAAAATGACAAAAAGCATGCATCTGTAAAATAGGTATAATAAACTGGCTCATTTGAGGAACTGTGGATGCCATAGATCTGAAATCTCTTTCCTCCTCCGAATACTTGGGAGTTTTCCAGTGATTTCATTAAATAAATGATCTCCCTCTTCTTTCTTTTGTGCCCACTGAGTCTCATAATGTAAATGTCTGTTTGCTCCGTGGTGTCCTCCATGCCTCTCTGCTAACCTTACTCTTCTTGTTCCGTGTTTTCTTTTTAGTCCCCAAGTCACTACAGAAGACACAGCTTCTATTGCAAGTTCTCTTCTTCTCCTTCTAATTTACGGTTGAAACTCTCAATTGTATATTCTATCTAATTGAGTGCATTATTCAGCCTCAAGAACTGTTTCTCTGTTGTGAAATCTACCTTCCCATTACATGTCTTAGGCCATGAACTATTTCCTACTTTTATTGAACTGTCTATTCATTTTCTTTTTTTGTTGAGTTTATACTAAGGGAATCATTTTAAACTCCCTTTGTAGCACTTCATGAACTTCTGTTTCTTTGAGGTCAGCTGCTGTCGAATCTTATATTTTGTTGGTGCTGCCATATCTCTGATTTTCATGTTCTTTCGGTCTGCTCGTTACAACTGTGTTTAAGACTACAGTCACTTGGGGCTGGAGAGATGGCTCAGAGGTCAAGAGCTCTCCTAGAGGTCTTGAGTTCAATTCCCAGCAACCACATGGTACCTCACAACCATCTGTAATGAGATCTGGTGCCCTCTTCTGGCCTGAGGGACACATGCAGGCAGAACACTGTATGCATAATAAATAAATCTTAAAAAAATAAAAAAGACTGCAGTCACTTTGCACAAACAGTGCAGGGGGGCTTCCAGAGAGAATTCTCCTCAGAGGGGCCTAGCAAGCTGATGCTGGTCAGTTGGTTACAATAATGTTAGTAACAGTTGTGGATGTGTTGATGATTTCAGCTGCAGCAGTTTGTAGCGGGAATGTTGGCTGAATAGGTAATGAGGTCTCTTGTTGCTTTGTTGATGAGTCTGACTTGGCTTACAAATTCTTCCTATGAAGATGCTACTGTTAAACAAGATAATATGTATGTCTTGTACAGTGTGTTCCATCATTAATAAGAATATTGTGAAGATTGGGGTTGCTTATAGATGAAAGTATTCTAAGCATTTAACATTCCTAAATATCAACTCAAAACAGATAAATGTGCTACCATGGATACCTTGGTTCCTAAAGACAGAGGGGGATGAAAAGGATAAAGATTTTTGTCATTGGGCCTATGATACACTCTACTATTCCATGAGTAGTTAATCATTTGAGAAGAGTGATAATTTTAGTAATCATTGTTGTGTGGAAGACAACATTTAAAAATCCATGTGTAAGTAGGAACACATGGGCGGGGGAAGACATTTTAGCACACTGACAAATAAATCCCATGCTCTACACTTGTGCCATTAAAGTATATTTATGTCGGTGAATAAACACTTACTAAACTAACTTAATGTTTTCTCACATCCTCTAGAATTGAAGTAAAATATGGATACTATATAACGGAGTATATATTTTTTGCCAAAATCTACTTTCTCTCTTCTGCACTGAACTAGGGACAACTGAAGTATGAGAAAGAAGTCACAAAAGGAAGATGAATAGAATGTTGTAGTGTGAGGGTCATATTATGCACACTTCTAAAAACAAAACTGCAGTATTTACATTACCTATGGAATTTTAATAAATCTAGATCTATTGCCTCCTAATATGAATGTATGTTAAATATGAATAAACAAAGCTAAAGATCCTCTCCAAGCAGAACCCAAACCATCTTGTTTATCTCAGCAGCTGACTGTCTGATACCTTTTTTTTTTTTTTTTTTTTTTTACTTCCGGCCACAGAAACAAAATTCAAGCATCATGGCATTTGACATTCAAACTCTCTTAATGCAAGTTCCCCTTTTACTTGAAGAAAAATAAAAATATCTTCTTTTAGCTTATGACAGCAATAACCTATATCAGAGAGTTCAGCAAGAACTAGCACTGGAAATGGCCTTGAGGGTATAAATTGTTATAATTACTTCAGAAGATACATGTCATTATGCTAAAGAATCAACAAAATAATGCAAAAATATCTAAGGTATCCACAGCATGTTGTTCCAAAGCAAAATAGAATAATTGCTGTCATTACAAACAAATGAAATCTGGACAATATTCACATTATTTCTGTGTATATGTAGCCAGGTAAAATTTCCCTCCATTTAAGGCATGCTTATATTAATATTTCCAGAAGACAGAAAAGTAGTATAGTAACATGCATCTGAAGTAATAATCAGAATTTTCCTTTTTAGGAGAGTATAAACAGTGTCTTTAAAAAGAGAAAGAAAGAAAGGAAGGAAGGAAGGAAGGAAGGAAGGAAGGAAGGAAGGAAGAAAGGAGGAAAGAAAGAAAGATGCAGGGAGGGAGGAAGGAAGGAAAGAAGGAAGGGAGGAAGGGTTATAGTTTGAGTTGAATTAAAACAAACAAATCTATCATATAGTCAGGTTCCTAATTCACCTATCTGAGTTACAAGTACAGAACAGTTCTTAATTACATTTTCAATAATTTACTCTTCTTATGGAGGTTTTACAAAACCACAAAACAATGCTTAGCTATATTTGGGCCACAGGCTCTGGTATAATTTGCCCTATGCACCTCTACTTCACCTTGTCAAAGAGTACTGCTTCCCCAAGGCTGCCCCAGGGTCCTGTTGACGGATTGCTCTAATTGCAGTTGGTGCTGTAAACAAGGCAGCCACTCCATGCTCTGCAAGCACACGGAAATAAGCACCAGCATCTGGCGTTCCCACAGGCTTTCCCTATGATGAGATTCATTTCATCATTGACAGTTCAATACCTACACATTTAACATAGCAATATTAACAAGTGTAGCTTCCCAACAAATCATAACTTTAAAACATTACCTTGTTGTGTTATAATTTAAAACTCAAGAAGAAAAATACTCAGGCTATTTTCTCCCATTTAGGATATTAGAAGTTTTTAAATTGCCATTATATCACATTGAAATTAGAAACTCAATAGACTCTTCCATATGTCAAGAAATTACATACATAGATTATGTATTTATATGCTTATATATAAATATTATGAATATATAACTATATTGCACAATATATAATATATGAGCATTCATTAGATCATATAGAGAAAGAGACAGAGTATTCTGTGGTAGACTAAACAAGAAATACAGCTATTTTCTTGGCATAAACAGGTTTATTGTTTCTAATATTAAAAGCAATGAGAGCAATTCTCAAGTATTTGAGAAAAAAAGATACCACATGATTCCTGAGCAATGGCATTTTCAATTAAAATGTCTGACTCCAGGAAAGAAACTCCTAGAAATTAAAACAAAACAAAACAAAACAAACAAACAAAAAACCCAACTCAGGCTAGCAACCAATATATATGCCTTTTAGCCTTAAACACATCAATTGAATGGTAATGCAAAAGTCATAGCAGTGCTGGTAATTATATAACTCAGAAATGCAAAACACTTTAGTAGATGCTTCCACAAAGAATAAAAACAAAACAAAACAAAAAACAAAAACAAAAACATCCCACGGGCAAAGTTTAAAGAATACCATTTTAAGTGAGTCATAAATCTTGACCCGCCCTATGCTTTCCTTTGTTCATCTCTCCTCATCATGGCTACACCATCCTATGCTTAAAGTAAGGTCTTGGGAATATTAATAAAAGCTTGTAACACGAATAATAAAAACCCAGAGACGATAAATTAGAGTTGAAGCTGAAGACCAGGTAAGCAAAGTGGCCAGCAACTAGAGATTTCTCACCTCTACCCACGCTCAGACTGAAGGGGCAATCAAGCCCTCTGATTGAATCTTCAAACTGAATTGCTCCTCAGACTCTCAGATGGTAATGCTCTCCACCAAAAATCTCAAACTGTTTTCTGAGACTGCGCTGAGCTCTTTATATTCTCTCTAGTGCTGGGATTAAAGGTGTGAGCTCTGTTTCTCTTCTCAGACTGATTCACTCTCCTGTAGGCCTGAGTGGCCTTGAACCCACAGAGATCCATCTGCCTCTGTCTCCTGAATCCTGAGATTAAAGGTGTGTGCCACCACTGCCTGGCTTCTATGGCTGTGACTAGCTTTTCATTCTGACCTCCAGGCAAGCTTTATTATATCATAAACAGTATATCACCACAAATGCTGAATAAAAATGTATACATATTCCCGGGTAAAACGTAAGTGGCTTAGGTTAAAACAAATAAAATAGTTACCTTATTTGATTCTTTTTTTTTTAATGCCTTGAATATGCTAGAGCACATCAGACATTCCCACAAGATGGGCCACTCTGTATGATAAAGTTTGCTGAGCTTCACTGATTAAATCCCGTCTAAGCTTCCCACGGGATCTTTGGTTCTAGGAAACCCACTTGGTAAACTACACTTAGGAAGGTAGAGGAAAGAATTTGCTTAAAGCAAACTCAGAAACCTCTTCAGACAGAGAATGAGAAAATAACTCTCAATGTGGTGGTTTAAATGAGAAGGGACAGCTTGCATATCTGAATGCTTGGTCCCCAGTTGGTGGAACTGTTTGGGAAGAATTAGGAGGTGTGGCCTTGTTGGAGAAGGTGTGCCACTCAGGAAGGGCTCTAAGGCTTCAAAAACCCGTGGTGTTCCTAATTTTCTATCTCTGCTTTGAGGTTATATCTCAAGAAGTGAAGCCCCCAAGTACTGCTCCAACATCATGCTTGCCTGTCTTCACTCATGCCCCACACCATGAGGGCCAGGGACTCTAGCCTTCTGAAACTGTAAGCCCCAAATAAATGTCTTTCTGTTTTAACTTGTCTTGGTCATGGTGTATTATCATGAGAATAGTAAAGTAAAGACAATCAATGAGAGGGAGACCCTAGTTGGACAATAATTTAGACTCAGCTCTTATTTCAGAATGGGTATTTGAGATGATACACTTAGGGTTTAGTGTTTATTTTTAAACAACATCATCAATGTTCTTTAACCATATTGCTTTTCTTTAAGAAATGCAACTTTTTATAGCTGAGAAACCAGCATAGGACCCATCAAGATTCCCTGAGTGTGGTGTTAGTTGGGAGGCCTGGTCAGTCTATGGGGACTCTGGTAGTGGATCAGTATTTATCCCTAGTATATGAATGGATTTTGGGAGCTCATTACATATACAGGGATACTCTCTCAGTCTAGACACATGGGGGAGGGCCTGGGCCCTGCTCCATATGATATAACAGACTTTGTAGACTCCCCATGGAAGGCCTCACCCTCCCTGGGGGAGCAGAAAGGAGATGATATGGGGGTTGGTGGGGAGAATAGGGGAGGACAGGAGGGTGCCTGAACTGGGATTGATATGTAAAACAAACTTGTTTCAAATTTAAATAAAAAATAATTTTAAAAAATGAAACAAAAGAAATACAACCTTTTAGGCCTCTCATAGGACTGTAATGCTGTCATTCTCATATTTTAAACATCATGTATTACAACTTGGCATTCTTTGTAATGATCCCAGTTATCCTAGAGAAGTCATCTTCCATTTAAATCATTACTATAGTAGTCAGTAAACTCAAATAGTACAGAAAGCTGCCCATTACAAACAGGCAACACACACATATATATAGTTTGACTCAAATATATGACTATCAGTTGGGAAAGGTATTACAACTTTATTCTTTCTAATGCAGTAAGGTGAACATTCATGACTTTTCTGTCTTCAAAATATCTTAAACATCAATCAATACTGAGGACTAGATAGTGATTTGGTAAATCTGATATCACCCTCATAAAAAGAAAATGCTTTATAAAATAAGCCTTATGCAACTGACTTGCCCTGTCTATCTTCCTATTTATTTATTTATTTGCCTGCTAAGTAGAAATACTTTGTCAAAATTTGCTTGGTAAGGCAACCTCACTGAGAATATTTCTCAAAATTGTTTAACCTTCACTAAAGAAACATATTCCATGGCCAATCGAAATAGAATGGCCCTGATTAGTAGAGTCAGAGGAAAATGATACAGAATAAACTTGATAATTGTGTTTATGTCCACTAATGGAAGACATGTGTCATAATGAAAGTACTGTGTGATATGTGACCATCTTCATAGAAAATATATTTTGATTCTTTTACAGTGCCTTCAACTCATTACTCTTAATAACAACAAAACGGTACACTAAATATTAGGAATATTACTGAAGTAACAGTTTTTGAATAATATGAGATTATAATTCTACTGCAGTTCTGGTAATGTGTTAAAGAAACATACAACAATATTGCATTTATTGAGCAAAAGGAAGAATGCCATGATACAGACTGACTATTATTTGAAGTGATGTATATAAAAGTCTCGCGATCCATTGTATATTAATTAAACTAAAAATTTCAGTTATTTTGAATTTAATGTCCATTTACCAGAAACTAATTAAATATTATAAATAAAACATTACCCTACTTTAAAATTACACAAATATATATATATATGTTTATTTATTTCCCAAGAATTCCTATATGATTTCAAAACTGATTAAAAATAATAATATCAAAGAAACTACTTTTTCTTAAAACAGTCTGCTGAATAACAAATATTAAGACTTCAGTTAAGTAAATATCTCTGCTGATATCAGGAAGAGCCTGAGTAGACATTTAATTAGAAAACATAACACAGATATACCTTATATAAATACATTGTGTTAGAGTAATCATAGGCTGAATAAATATTAAGCAGGTACTATGGGTTGGTTAGATCATGGAAACCATTTTTCTAGAAGCCAAGGAAGGCCTTCTCTGATATAAATTATAATTTGACAGATATAGGATATTGGCTGATGTATACCTATTATATAGTATAGCAGATGCTGCAGGCTGTGTGAAGAATAAAAGAAAGAGACACAGGAGTATCATGCAGTCAGCCCCATCACCGCTAGTAGGTTCACAAAACCAAAGCAAAGCCCAGAGGCATTTTTCTTTATGAACACTAAATAAACAGGACTTCAATACCGTATTGATTTTATTGAGCACATGCCTGCACATAGAGACACATGTGTGCATAAGCCTTACATAATCTTTGCCAGTGATGCCCAAACCATGGGTTGGCCTGTCTGATGGGAGATGTCATTCTGTAAATATGTTTCTCGTATTGGTTAATGAATAAAGCACTGTTGGCCAATAGGAAAGCAAGATAGGTGGGACTAGCAGACAAGGAGAGAGGAAGGAGTAAGGAGGAGATTCAAAACTGTGGGACCAAGAGAACAGAGGTCCTGATCCGCTCTCCAGTAAGATGAGACCACGTGGAAATACTTAGATTAATAGAAATGGGTTAATATTAAGACAGAGCTAGCTGATAAGAAGCTAGTAACTGGCCACAGCATCATATCTAATACAGCGTCTCTGTGTGTTCTTTGGGGCTGGCGTGGCTGTGGGACCAGGCCGGTGGGAAAACATGTCCCTAACACCTGTTGAAAAAGAAAGGGACACAAGGGTAGCAGAAGCAGCTAAAAGCAGCATATAAAATCTTCCTACTGAAGTCAGCGTCATCACTTCCTTATTGTGTACTTTTTAATAACCCCAGAGAAAATTCTTGGTTCTGCTTAAATGACATAAGGCAAACAGACTGTTATTGGCATTGATGAGGAAGAGAGTCTACAGATTCATTTGATACACTTCTTTATTTTTATTTGTTTATTTAACTATTTATCTAGTGTGTGTGCAAGGGAGGCCGGTAGTAGGCATATTTGTGCAACATGTACAACACTGAAAGACTATGGAGTCAGTTCTCTCCCTCTACCTTGTAGGATCCCAGGATCCAACTCCAGTCCTCA